GAATGCTTGCAAACCTCATGCTGTGGCCCGATTCGGACAGTGAGGAGGTTAGGCCAGTCCTGGAGTCTAGGGAAGGCTCTGAGGAGGGCTCTGCATCGGAGGCAGAGATGGGGCCGGGGCTGTCTGACAGTTATCAGCTGCCGTCGGAGTCGGACATCAGTGGGGCAGAAGAACAGCTGGAGCCTGTTCCCAGTGTGCGCATGCGCAGAGCTCCCAGACGAAGGGAACAGCTAAGGAACAGGGGTCGACCTGGGAATAAGGCCACAGGTGGATGGTGAATCGCCCCTCCCATTGGGAATAAAAGAGGAGCAGCGAAAGGGGAGTGGAGCTTGCAGGAGGCAATCAGTTCATTCCTGCATTCTTGCCAAGTCTTGCTGCGTCTGAAAGATATCGGCTTGGCCACTCTCCAAGCCTGATCAAGGTCGGTAATTGGGAACTCTCTTTCCTGCAGGAGAGGAAAGACTTTGCTGGAGAGGAATTCACTATACGTTAAATAAAAGGGGTTTATCAGGCTTCGTGCTGTTGGGGAAGCCTCGGTCAGAACACCTCATATCTGAATTCTGCAAAATTCCCCATAGCAAAAAACATTGTGTGTGTGTGTGTGTGTGTGTCTGTGTCTGTGTCTGTCTGTGTGTGTGTAATATCGTCCCCTGCCTGCCATTTGTGAGATTAAATTTTAAATTGAAACGGGAGGGGAAAAGAAAAGGGGAGAGTTTCCCCTGCTGGTTTTATAGCTGTGAACATCTAATGAGATGCAAATATGAATGGGGAAGCATAGATTCTCGTTGTTTATATGCCTTTCAGCTCTCGTGCTGCAATGCCTTGTGGGAAACGGAGTCTCTGCAATGAGATTCGAGACAACAACAAGTGTAAATCTGCAGCTACAGGAAACCCTGGCTAGATTTAAAGTCAGAGAGCTTGAATGCCACTGTTATAAAATCTCTGGTGTACTACCCTGTTTCTCCAAAAATAAGACCTCCCCGGATAATAAGCCCAATCGGGCTTTTGAGCGCATGCACTAAAATAAGCCCTACCCAAAAATATTGCAACACAGCAGCAGCCATGAGGTGACCACGCTCGCCGCCTCCTGCACCTCAAAAGTAATAAGACGGAATTCGATGATATGTAGCCATAACAAAATACTTTCTAGAAAGCCAAGGTCATCCTTTGTCTCTGCACCTCTGCACCTGACCTGAGGATTTCAGATTTGGGTTAATGTCAGGGTTCCAAATAGCATCCAAAATTAAATCAGAGTCCAAGGCAAAGCATTCCTCAAAAGTTCCAATTTATGAAGAGAGCCATGTTGGCATATCTGGGAAAACCTGAATCTGAAAGCTTCCCCGTTTTCCACACCCAGTTGAAAGTTCACAATCTTGCCCCCACACCTACAAGTCCCTCCCATGGTCCAATCTCCCACTGCCATGCTGGCAGCTTCCACCCCATCCAATTCCGGTCAGGTGCAGAGGTACAGAGACAAAGGATGACCTTGGCTTTCTAGAAAGAATATTGTTATGGCTACCTATCATCTAACTCCATACAATCCCCCCTGCCATCTTCCCACCATAGAAAATGCCTAGTAGGATAATAGAAAGTGTAGCAGGCCAAAGATCTAAAAGACAAGATGGCTGCAGGGCTGACAAAGACCTCCACAAAAATAAGGCCAAGCGCTTATTTTGGCAGTCAAAAGAAAATAAGACCCTGTCTTAGTTTTGGGGAAACATGGGCGAACTGGTAGTGGAGATCCCGGTTCTATGCCGTTCTATTTAGCCACATTTTTGAGGCCGAGCGCATGCGTGGAAGGTGGGAGCGCAGGGCAAACCGTTGGTAAAAATAAGTGAAGCCCCTGCTGGTTATGCTAAGCCTTAAGAGCTGATTTGTGAATCCTAATATGTTGACTCTCAAAACCGATTCACCAAAGTCCTCAATTTTGCAGAATAAGCATGCCTTAGCTTATTATTGCATTCATATCCCTCCAGCTTTCCACTCCAAAATGGTGCTGAAAACAGTGAGGGGATAGAAAAAGGATAAATGAAAATGAAATGCATCATTCAAGAAATATCAGTGTATAATGAGAGAGAGAGAGAAAGCGAGAGAGAGACACAGACAGAGAGAGAGACAGACAGACAGAGACAGAGACAGAGAGGCAGACAGACAGAGAGAGACAGACAGACAGAGACAGAGAGAGAGACAGAGAGAGAGACACACACAGAGAGAGACAGACAGACAGAGACAGAGAGGCAGACAGACAGAAAGAGAGAGACAGACAGAGAGACAGAGAGAGAGAGAGAGACAGACAGAGACAGAGAGAGAAAGAGAGAGAGAGACAGAGAGAAAGAGACAGAGAGACAGAGTGACAGACAGAGAGAGAGAGACAGAGACAGAGACAGAGAGAATGAAAGGATCTTATTAGCTAAAATCCAGCATGCTTTAATGCCAGTCATGTCTAAAATAAGGGCTAACGAGGAACCTCCTGTGGTGAGGAGTTCCACAGATCTTGGAAGAGAAAAGGAAAGAAAAGCAGGGGGTGATATTACCATGTTTCCCCCAAAATAAGACAGGGTCTTATTTTATTTTGACCTCCGAAAAAGCACTTGGTCTTATTTTTGGTGATGTCTTATTATTTTTTAGGTGCAGGAGGTGGCGAGTGTGGTCACCTCATGGCTGCTGCTGTGTTGCAATATTTTCAGGGAGGGCTTATTTTTAAGGGAGGGCTTATTTTAGCGCATGCGCTCCAAAGCCCAATTGGGCTTATTATCCGGGGAGGCCTTATTTTTCGTAAAAAAGGTTGTTTTTAAATTTTTTCCTTTAAAATTCATTCTTAAACATACATGCTTATAAGTGCTGTTTAACGTTTGTCAATTCGTATCATTTTTCCGCCTGCATATTTACATTTTCACACTTTCTTATTTCCCCTCCCCGGGATTTAATAACGTGTCGTCAGAGTTATTTATTTTGTGCTTTGCTCCTTTCTTTTTTTATTTGTATCTTTTTTCAAACCACTCGTAAAATCGCCCCCCCCATGTCCTGTAGTATACGGATTCCTCTTTGTCCTTTATGCTCAATGTCAACCTGTTCATTTCTGCACAATCGAATATCTTCTTTATTAGGGGGAGGTCTTATTTTCGGGAAAACGGGATACTCAGTGCTTTCCTGGCCTAAATTTTTTTTCCCACCTGCCAATATCCTGATATCCCTCGCATTTCCAGATATATATATTTTTTCTTATTTTTGAGGGAGGGGAGCTTTGGATGTCTTCCCCTCCCCTATGAGAAGCCAGGGAGAAAACAAACGAACGGGAACATCGATAGAATGAAGGACATGCCTCCTTCAACCGTTCCTGTAAGGATTGTGGGAATTTCACTGTGGGTTTTTGTGTGTGTTCCTCTTTGCGGGAAGAGAAGAAGCGCCTGTTTCTTTCCTGGAGGGTGGGTGGGGGGCTGCAAATACCCTTCTGCTTGCTTTCCAATAATGCCCGGGGAGAAGCCGGGCCTTTGTGCAAAGCTCTCTAGCCCAGTGAAGGCCATCAAGCAGGAAGACCCAGAATGAGGTCAAGAAGTGATCATAAACAGCAGCAGGTGCTCTTGATGGAACCTTCCCTGCCCTCCTGCGAAGGGCACCGCGGCGGCTGCCATGCGCCAGAGCGAGCGTCCTTTTCACAAGCAATTAAGATCATCCGCTTGTTACCCCGGGAAACGCGGGAGGCTCGAGCTCTGCATCCAGCAGCCTTGAGATGTGGCGTTTTCCCGAGGCCTCCGCGCAGGGAGATATTTTTCTCCTCCTCCTCCCCCTGCCGGTCCCAGCGTCATGCGCCAAATGCTCTCGGTCGTGACGATCCAGAGCTCTGGTGAGTCACGGTCAGCTGCGTTCTGCGCCTGGGTGCGTGTTGGCAGAGGCCGATGGCAGAATGTCACTCTGCACCAGGGGTACACCTTATTCCTTCTGAAAGAAACTGAGATTGGCGGGCCTGCGTGGGGTTGAACCCTTCCCTCTTCTACGGTGCTGTTACACACGGTGTCTGTGTGTGTCTCGTTGCAATGGCTGGCTGGGGAATTCTGGGCATTGAAGGCCATGTGACTCCTGCTTCCCTTCTTTCTTTCTTTCCTTCTTTCCTAAAACGAACCTTCTTTTAAGGCAGATTGGTTCTATGGTGAACAGACTGAATTTCAATCTGTTTTCCTTCCTTCCTTCCTTCCTTCCTTCCTTCCTTCCTTCCTTCCTTCCTTCTTTCCTTTCTCCCACTCACACACCCATCCATTCAGCCTTCTCCCATCTCCTTCTTTCCTTCTATTCACCCACCCACCCATCCATCCATCCATCTCTTCTCTCATCTCCTTCCATCCATCCATCCTTCCCTAATTTATTTCCTCCCTTCTTCCTTCATTCCTTCCTTCCTTTCCCCCATCCACCCACCCACGCATGCATCCATCCATCTTTCTCTTCTCTCATTTCCTCCCTCCCTCCCTTCCATCCATCCATCTCTTCTTTCATCCCTTCCTTCCTTCCTAAAATGAATCTTCTTTTAAGGCCGATTGGTTCTATGGGGAACAATTTTACTGAATTTCAATTGTTTTCCTTCCTTCTCTCCTTCATTCCTTCCTTCCTTCCTTCCACCCACACACAAATCCATCCTTCTCCTCTTATTTCCTTCCTTCTCTCCCTCCCTCCCTCTGTCTATCCATCCACCCACCCACCCACCCATCCATCCACCCTTCATTCGCTGGCCACTGCAGTGGTGGTAGCTAGCATAAACATCCTCCCGTCTGGTTGCCATGGAAACTGGCGATCCCTCCCTGGGCGATGGGAGGAGGGAGCAGCAACAGCTTGGTGGAAGTGCTAAGATGGAGAAGAGCCCCCCCCCACCTACCCAACTGCAGCGTCCAGTTAGTTTTGCAGGCAGGCTGAGTTGAGCCACCAGGATGAGTTTTGCTGCAGTCGAATAACAAAGAAAGGAAGGAAAGATTCCCTGAGCACGTTTTTTTCTTCTTCTGTTTAAATTTTAGGGATTTTCTGCCCCGTGGATCAGGAATTGTCACCCGACGCCCCTTGGTTTTGCAGCTGGTTAATGCCACGACTGGTAGGTGAATTAGTTTTTAATGCTCTCTCTTCGTCCTGACACACAAACCTTCAAGCCCAGGGTTGAGAGAGAAGACCTTCCATCACGATCTGATGTGTAACCTTCCTCCAGTGTTACTCCAAACCTATCTGCTTTGCCCACAAGGAGGAGGGAAGGAGGGGGAAATGAATAACAGAATAGAATAACAGAGTCGGAAGGGACTTTGGAGGTCTTCTAGTCCACCCCCCTGCTCAGGCAGGGAATCTTATATTATTTCAGATAAATGGTCATCCGACATCTTCTTCAAAACTTCCAGTGTTGGAGCATTCACAACTTCTGGAGGCAACTTCTATTCCGCTGATTAATTGTTCTCACAATCAGGAAATTCCTCCTTAGTTCTAAGTTGCTTCTCTCCTACATTAGTTTCCACCCATTGCTTCTTGTCCTGCCCTCAAGTGCTTTGGAGAATAGCTTGACTCCCTATTCTTTGGGGCAGCCCCTGAGATATTGGAAGACTGCTATCATGTTACCCCTAGTCCTTCATTAGACTAGAATACAATAACAGAGTTGAAAGGGATCTTGGAGGTCATCTAGTCCAACCCCCTGCTTAGGCAGGAAACCCTATACTCTTCCAGACAAATGGTTGTCCAATCTCT